CTCTTCAACGTGACGCGAATAATAGCGCCGATTCTCAATTTATTCTCTTAAAATTAGAGATTTCTGTAACGGGATTGGAAAGAAGTTTAAAAAAAATAGATGTATAAACGAGCGAATAATTGATGGATTAAAATTTTCTTTAATTTTCCTATTCGACGCTTCCTATTTGAAAATTTTTCTAAAAAAAAGAGAAAAGGTAGAAAATAGAGGGAAAAAATAAAAATTGTACCTTGTAATCTGAAACGTAGTCCGATATTTCGCTGACTCGTTGATTCTCAATCAGAATTCTGTGCCAACGTAAGATGGGAAGGGGTATAAGAACGCTTTAAAATTGCATCAAACTCGAGGAATTATATAACGTTAAAACGATAATTGAAATTGGATAGGGTGGTAAGGAAAAGAGATGAGCTAGGGCTCGGTTAATAAAGCCAATTATGGGATGATTCGAAAGAGGTAGAAAGGAGATTCCTGGCGGATACAGCCAGAGTTAGGAATTTGCCGGTTTTCCCCTATTATATGCGCGATATGCCAGCACGCGAAGAAAGGATGAAATTGCTGTTAGAAATTCCGTTTCATCGGACTGAAATTCATTCTACCACTTTAAACATTCATTTTCAAACAGTGTTCGAGGGTAAACGCTGATGATAGAAAATTTTGACTCGTATTATTAGGAAAAACAAAAATATTTTAAAATAAAAAAAAAAAAAGAAGATATTCAATTTATTTTAAACATCGCATACAGAACTCGAAATTTCATTGGAAATTTTATTGGATATTTCAGTAGGAATTAATTGTATTTAATTTCGTTCGAAATATTTATACGGGGATGAATTTAACTTTATTTGTACGTTGAATTTTTAAAAAGCTTAAATAAAAAGTTAATAAATTTCAACGTTAATTACTTCTCAAACTACTTCATCGATTCTTGCAACGTGCAAATCGTTATCCGTTTTATTTACTTATATTCCAACATATTATAACATTATTAACCTTTAATCGTTTCAAGTGAATTCGAAACAAAGTTCGAATTCGCGATTAAATTTTTAAATGGTCCATCCAGTTTCGACATCGATCGTTCTCCCCCTCCCCCCTCCCCCCCGTAAAGAAATAAGAAGCCAATTCGAATTTTTCTTTTATTATAACACCGTGTATCCCATTGAACCGTAGGCTCACGATACGATCCGATCCGATCCGATCGGCTTTGGTATCGCGTTCGAGGATAAAGATTTCGCCGGACAAAGACGAACGGAGGGAAGGAAACAAGTCCCCCGGGGCGATATGTCGTTCTTCCGGCTATCGCGTCCAACTTTCTCAACGCCAAGTTTCGAGGGGTTTCGAGGGGAGGCGAGAGAGGAGAGGAAGGAGAGAGGATACAGGTGGTGGGGGTGAAGCTGGTAAGACGAATTATTGGAATGCCGCAAATATTTCTTCCAACGGGATTCCTTCCGCCTTCGGGAACGTCGATCGTTGGAGAAATACGTTAATACGCGTTGTTGCGCGATCGTCCATCAAGAACAGTTGGAGCAACTCGATGTTTGGCCAACGGGCCAGAACGATCGGCCGTTTTAAATCGACGTTAAACGAACGAATATAATGGAGGTTGCGAGGCACGGTTGTATAGATAGCGTGAAATTGCATTTAGGCGCTCGAGGTGATTTTTATCTTTTTTTTTTTTTAATGAGAGTGTAATTCTTTTGTTTAAAACGTTAATACGGTTTGGGGAAATTTTAAATCGCGAACAGGTTCTCGCTTGTAGATAAAAAACCTAAAATGATAATTTTATTTATTCTAATAAGATGCAATATTATTATCGATCGAATCGATGGAATGTTTTATCGAATTTTTTTACAATTTTAACATCGACAGAGATATAAATATTTTTTTTTTCATTATTATTTTGATTAACGAAAGGTTACTTTAATCGCTTGGTGCTTCCAGTTGTTCAAAGGTGAGAAACAACGTTTGAACTCGCACATTCGAGGAGAAACGTTTCGCCATGGAATCATCCCCTTTACGATAATTGTTGTAGCGCGGAACGGTGAGCTGCATTGAAAATTATTTCATCAGTTTTATCCGATCGTTGCAACAGTTGAATTACCATTCGCGAAATACGATTATGGTTCCCAGGGACGACGATGTCGCGCGAATTTTTATGAGAAACTCATGGTACGCCGGGGATATCGATATGTTCCAAAACGAACTCGATTTTCAACGCGGATCTACATTCGTTACGCGTCGCATTGATCCTTTTGCGTGTGCGTTTGTTTGCCTCATGATTAGAATCGAGGTTATACCGACGAGCAAATTTGTGCACGAAAGCCTTGTTGCGTGATCGATTGTCTGCAGATTGAGAATTGATCGTTCCCTCCAAATTAATTTCTCTTCTATAAACGGATGATTAAAGAAATAATGGAAAAATTAATCTTTAGAGAAAGAAACGAAATATAACGACAAGTGAATAAAGTTTATATCAAATAAATATTACGAATTAAAATTCAGAATTTCCATACAAATTGCAAATCGTTAAAAATCATAGATTGAAAAATTAATCAGAACACAAATGAAAATTCTCTCGGATAGTATTAGTATAAAATAAAATCTCTTTAAATATCTTTCCATTGACGATCGGTATCCTAATCAATCGGGATATCTTGAGAATATTGGAACGCATCAGCGTTTCACAGAGGAGTTCCCTTTGACAAGTGGCGTTCCATCGCCGAGACGATGTAGCTTCTAAGGCGTAAGAAGCGGCAATTTGTCGACGAAGTTTCCGGTTGATCTGATGGTACGGCTGCTAATTAAGCAGCTGCGGGTGAGTGAATTAAAACGGACTCGCTTAGCAACCAACCACACCCGTTATCGCCCGGTAATTAATAAGGCCGGCCCTCCTCCCTTAATTATGTTTTTGTTTTCCCCATCCCGTCTCCCTTCCCCTCCCCTCCCCTTTCTTACCTTCGTTACTTTTCGTTACCCGACGAATTAACGCACGACCGCGCTGCACGGTTAAATCAGAGATATCGGCTCGCACGGTTTGAATTCCAGATTTCCTACCGTGTGGTATCTTGGAGAAACGAAAGGGTGCAATCAACTGATGAACCGCGGCGGTACCTACTATCTTCTAGTCTTTTAGGGATTTAATCGGACAGAGTAGGCACGCGCGCCTCTTTCGTCGATTACCGAGACCGGGATTATCTAAATTATTATCGCAACGAACGAATCTTTAAACGATGGTTTCGTCGAGATTTCGAAACGAAGAGTATTTTAATTTTAAACACAGAGAATTTTTCTACATGGATGGAAAATTGAATCTAATAATCGGATTGTTGCTCAACGAAACTTACGAGTCAAGAGGTAATCGATAATTGACACTTTGACGAGACACTCCAGCGCTCTATTCTTAATACTTCTTTTATTTTATTAATTTTTTTAATTTTTGGAACGTCTCCACTATCTCCTCGTAATAAAATAAACTAAATTTCCCATGTATATATATATATATATATATATATCATAAACTCGCTTCGATAAAAATCATCATTAAAAAATTATCAAGCGATTAAAAATTCAAATTTCCATTGAGAAAATTAATCAACAGCCATATAATATCAAATATTATTAAATATCTATCTAATTCCTTATCCTCCTATATTTCGATCTTCGTAAAAAATCTTCGTAATTACCATAATTCGTAATTCTCATCGACTACGTACTCATCGAGTCGAAATCGAGCAAATCTTGCGGTGCTCTTAAAACGAATAACAGCCTCGTCGTACGTAGTTTACCGCCGGACTTTCGCAAACTGTATTCACCACCTTTCCCTCTCCCCTCCTCCTCACTCACCCCTGCGGTGGCGGTAAGTTTTAATGAAACGCGGGGTGGCTTAGAGGGAGCGGAATCGAGGCACGATGACGGCGTGACACGAGGCACGCGCGAAACTTCCGCCTGTTATCGCGAGAGGGACACGCCACACCCGTGTACACGGTTAACTTTAAATAAGAAAGTGTGCGGGCTACGGTGTGGCGCGCTGTCCGATGCAGTTTCCGGGCCACAGGCGGAAATATGTCTCTGAACGTGCACCGGGAAATATTATCGCGTCCAGGTTAATGTCTCTCCTCTCCCGCGTTCCGTTCGATTTACTTGTAGATTTCGTGCTCGCTTTCTTCTCTCTTCTCTTTTCTTTTCCTCCCTTTCTTTTCTCCACGACGGATGCGGAAACTGGTATAGGTGTTTCCAAAGCGATACGATAGTTTGTTCGGGCAAGTTTATTTGATAGAAAGGTTTCGCGCGACAGGGGACAGGCGAATTGATGAAACTTGGGATTAGATTTGTTTAGAGATGAAATTGCAAGATTTATTCGTATGGAATTCTTTTTTTTTTTTTTGAATTTTTTATTTTTCGGAATTTTTATTCGAAATCGCATCGTCTCCCTCTCTCTCTTCGTGACAGGAGAGAATACGAATGTACGATTCGATGACTTATGGAAATTTGAGGGGTGAAATATAGCGCAAGATTATTATTGAGATTTATCATTTCACCGTTCAATTTTACAATTCGTCGTTTTAATTTGTGGTTTTAAAATTGTAAGTGTATATATCTCCGTCGAGATATTCGAAAAGAGAAATCTTCGTAGACGATGAGACGAAACCGTTGATACGATTTACGACAGATTTTAAATCTGATTTATCTTAATTTAAAAAAAAAAAAGAAAAAAAGGGAGACGAATTTCATTGTTCAGTTTTCAGTTCATTCGTCAGAATTAACGCAAACGGACGGGATTTAACGGAGGCGAAGCAAGCCGCAATCATGTCGACGTTAAAACCCATAAACAATCCCGGAACATCTTTCTGCAGCTCGTAAAACGGACAAAATGGCGCGTGAACGCATCTAAAGCGAGATTTACGCGTGTCAAAGCGATTGAAATCGCGGAACGAGCGTGATCATTTTGAGGGTAGGATTATGGTATGGACGAGGCAGGAATATTTAAGCGTAATTTCGGCGAGGAGAGGTCGGCGAGGAGAAATATTATAACGTCGGGAGGGCGTAATATTTTCCACGAGATATATGGATTATCCGCAGGATATTGAATCGATCGGATATCTCGAAAAGACCCTCATTTTTACCCGGGTAAAAAGAGGTTGGCGGGTTTAAATTTGCCGCCAGTGGTGGAAAGCAGATGGTTCTCTCTTCGAGGAAATTATATCGAGACGATAGCAGCCATTTTGGTCGAGAGAAATTATATTCGCGGCAATGTTTCTTAGTCGCTGATGGAACAGAAAATTAATAAGCATAAGATACGATGGCGCGAAAATTACCGTACGCGTCTT